AACGTTTTATTGCCATTTGGGAGATTTCAGTTCTTCCTTTTATGGCAAGAAAATGCAACAGGAAGTGAGGAGAAATCAGGACACGTGTTGTATAATTTTTCTGGTCCTCATAGGAATGCTGGACTGCATCACTTTCGGCGACATGGTCTCAGCTGTTGAAGGCGTGCTAGGCTCAAAGAGTATGCGGACTTGTTCTATAACTTTTCTTGATCGCATCACTTCCAGTGCGGTCACGTCATCCAAATCAGACATTTTCCTTCAGCCGCTACACCCACAACCGCTTATACCACAGGCTGGTCCTGGTTTTCAGCAGCAGGACCTCAAACACCACCCGGCAAGTGGACAGTAATTTTTGCTTGACTGCGTCACTTTCAGGTCCGCATGAAGAAAGGGCGTCAGGAAAACAGATTCAGATGACGCGGCTGCACCAGAAGTGATGCATCTGAGAAAAATGATAGAACAAGGGCACATGTGTGTTGAGCCTAGCACACCCCCAACAGCTAAGACCACATCGATGGAAGTGACACAGTCCAGCATTCTTATGAGGTCCAGAAAAATGATAGAACACTGGCTGGGCTGGAAACAATCAGGCAGAGGCGCAGGTAGCTCTCTAATCAGGCATATTAGGGGCCGCAGCGAGGAGCCGCCTAATTAGAGAGCCACCTCTAGAAGATCTTCCCCTTACCTCGTTACAGGAACAGCTGTATAATTTCAAGCTTGAAGATTCATCCCCAAGGCCAAATAAAGGTCTCCCCAGCAGAGACAGACAAAAAACCTGATTGAGGTTCTAACCCTGACCCACTCTGTCCAAAACTAAAATAAAACGGTTTGGCTTTGGACATATATTAACGTGTGTGTAAACCCATACAATGGACTTCTCTTATTTGCATTATTTTGGTCTTTGAAATCATAATTTCAGTCATGGCACCCTTTAAAATTATGCAGAATCTCAAAACACCCCAGTCTGAAATGTAAAGAACAAAGTGTGGCTCATCCAAAATCGAAAAAAGATATTCTTGTCCCAGGAAGGGTTTGGGATGGATTTTTAGGGGGACCTAATGCACAAAACACACAAAAACAATGAAGTTCCCCCTCTTCATATCGGAGTCCCTCTTTCTAATCAAGTGCCTCCTTTACATCAGAGACCCCCTCCTTTTACATTAGAATCCCACTTTTCACATGAGAGTCCCCCCTCTACATCAGTCAAGAGCCCCTGCCCCATGCAATGGCATGACCCTGTGTGAACATTTCAATGCACCCCCGGCTGAGAAAGGCTGTGTTAAATATACCACTGGAAGCGTTCCGTTATAGGTGTTTGATAAGGGCAAAACAAATACCTGTTGATCTTGCCAGAAATAGAAACAATGTTCCCTTTTCTCTCTGCAGACTATAGAACACATTTGACTATGGTAAAGGAGAGGGTGAGGCATTCTGTAGTCCCGACACTCATTCTTTCCTAGGGTGAGAATGTTGTTCCTCAATACAGCATACTGAGTGAACCATCCACCTAGGTAGGAATGTGTGTTACCGTCAGGATCACCAGGTGAAAATAAAGGCATATGCCTGAAAAAGGAAAACGAGTGCAGCCACCACATCTAGGGCAGGTAAGCTGCAACACATGACATCTTTGTTTTTCTGCAACTGTGTAAAATTTACATTGGAGGTTTCTTGATAACCAGGGTGAGCTTTCCCCATCACACAGACACGTGAGCCGACAAGGTAAAAGAAAAGTCAGAATACGCGGCCGTTTTACTGCAATGTTTATTATAGTTAACATCTTAAAAAATGCTTTGAAAAGCTACATGTATGTTAAATTAATTGTTAGAACATAGTTTGAGGTCATGTCATTCCAAAATACTATGGTCACACACCTACACACGCACACACACCCTCCCCTGCATAAAGCATAAACGTAGACGTGATATGCATATACTCAGAAGTGATATGTAGACGATAATACAGAAAATCGGTGCAATAGAGGAAACACTAATAGAATAAAAAAGTATCATCGGAGAGAAAAAAGTGTGCAAATGAACCTTGCAAGGCTGCTTTGACCTATAAGATGAGCTACCTCTGGCACTGAGGCAGGCCATGTCCTAAGAATGCTAGGTCTACCACGGGAAGGTGGTGGGGGGGGGGGTCTACACAGTGTCCAGATAACAAGGCACAGCCTGTCACCTGGGAAATCAGCCCTTATTTCTAGAAGATTAGGAAAGCCTCACCATGGTAAAAGGAAGGGAAAAAAAAGAACAGGTGAAGGGATATCATTCATATTTACATGCATACAAATAGTGGACAGTGCAATGACAAAGGAAAAACAAAATAAAAAAATCAGCGTGCAGTGATGATCGAGGGGGTAAAATAGGGGATTGTGCATTTTTCTGTCCCATCAGTTCTGTCACACTTACAAAAACATTTATGACAAAGCTCGTCTTTAAAACCTGTGTCTCTGAAGCTGGCCACACACTGGTAGAATTTTGTTAAAAACTTTAGAAGATCAAACCAATGTTCCGAAAACTAATGGTTGGTGGGGTCTAGTCAATGCTCATTTTCAACTGTATCACAAGGAAAATCGAAGCAGCAGGATGGAAATGTTTTCTCAATTCTTATCTGAACGAATGCGGGATGATCATTGGGTCGGCCCACCGTGCAGCTGCACATAAACAAAGGGGTGGGATGCTGGTGACATGTCATTGACCATGTAAGGTCAATGACATGTCACCAGCATCCCGGCACTTTCTTTACGTGCAGCTGCTAGTGGGGAACGTCCCGGTCAGAGCCGATTGGGCCGACACCGACAGCTTCCCTCTGGGTTCAGACAAATTCAAGTTGAGACCCATCCTTATGTAATTTGTCTGGGATTCTATTCAAGGAGCAGGTCTGAACGAAATCTTAACAAAATGTATTGACCCAAAAACGGATGCTCTGATGAATGACTTTCAAAAATTGTTCGACTGAAATTCTAACAACGTATGGCCAGCTTTAGGACAATGGCCCTACTAGTAATGGATTTTATTGTGCAAATTTGTTCCCTTGTGTGTCAAAGTGGGAGTCTTCATTGCAAAGAGTAGCCAGTGTACGCCAATACCTAAACCTGGACAGGGATCATACACAGGAAGTTCAAGATGACATACTAGATGTGAGTAAACAAGCTCTTTGGTGCAAATGGCATATCGTTCGAAGATCTAACCTCTATAGTTGTGCAGACCTGTCCTTATCTGCAAGGCGGTAACCACCTAGACTACATCAGCCACTAGCTCAATGCATGCAAAGACTTTGGCAAAGCAGGCAGGAGATTAACATGTGAAGTATCAAATCTGCATCCTACCTCACTGCAATAAGTTGTGTTTGCTGCTCTTGTAATGCTCCCTACAGACACTTCTACGTGTTATATGACATGGAGATGTTGCCCACAGCAAACTTTCCTACAAATGGCAAATGAGCGGCTATAGCCAACACCCCCAGTGGCAATTTGCACCTGCTACTATAAACTGCTGGAAGGGTGTCTGGTGCCCACTGGCCCATCTCCCAGCCCTTTGCATCTCATGCCTCCAGAATACATTTACTAACCAAATGCCAGCACTGTGGGTCAGTGATAAGTTACGGAGTTCAAAAATTGGTATACTTCGGAATTTCCTCCCATGATATGCAATAATTAAGATAACCATGTATTCATCATCTGAGAAGTAACAAAACATTTATGTGGTTGTCTAAAATCACAGAAAGTCAAGGCCCTGCGATCCCTGCACTTGGGAAGGTATAGTAGGTAGGAGGCGGTGGATCTAAACATAATTAGATCTTGCTGTACGAAGTCTGATCTATAATATAGAGTGCTATGGATTGGCAGCATCCAGAGGTCTCAGGAGAGGGAGCTTCGGGTGGGAACCAGGAATGAGAAAAAGTGTCACATTGATTTCGAGTCCCAAATGGGTTTATTTTCTCACAGAATCCAACGCGTTTCAGTTTTCACATTACCCCTTTCATCAGGGATGAGCGATAGTTTCTACTGGGATGTAGGCTTCTGCAGCTGATGGAGGTTTGCAGCCCGAAATGCGTTTATTTTGTATGAGAAAATGAACGCATTCTGTACTCTCAATCGATGGCGTAGTGTTCTCACTCTCTTCTGTATATTCCATTATCTCTGCAGGCAGTAAACAGAATAAAAGTTTTAGTTTTCAAGAACATTCTTGCCTGAGCAAAAAAATAATCCTGTCTCTATCTTTGACAATTTCTAGATCACAGGCATCTGAGCCTTAAAAATGTCACAAAGCAACTGGGGGCCATTATTCAGTCAACTAGGTTTCAATGGCAAGTAAACCTGTCTAATGAAACATGAAGGGATACAGTCTTATTAATCAAAACGCTCTTAGATCAGGGGTAGGCCATCTCAGCACTCCAACCGTGGTGGAACTGCAAGTCCCATGAGGCATTGCAAGACTGACAGCGACAAGCTATGACTCCAGAGGTTTGTACAGTTTCCCCACAGCTGGAGTGTCTAAGTTACCTGCCCCATCTTAGAGGATCACTACATCATAGCCTGATGTAAAAGAGGTTTTAACATTAATTGATACATATGCAAATTCTAAAAAAATCATTATTTACCTTCATTATATTACAATAAGAAGCAACATTTTTAAACATACAACTGACTTTTGTCAAATATCATTTTGGCGCCTCGTTTTGCCTAACACGATGGCTAGCATAGAGCAATAGGATGCACAATGTCCCATAAATGTCAAATATCTCCCAGGTACGGCGACATAAGGTAACTTGAATTTTCGGTGGAGTGGCCCTTTAAGCGGGTGTTTATTAGACCACATGATCTTGTAAGATTTCAGTGTGGAGTTAAACGCATATAATCCTCCAGCTCATGCAGTTGTATCATGAAGGAACGCCACCATCTATTTGTAATCATTTCATACAGAAAGGCTATAAATCCAGGTGATGCAGATGTTTTTTTTTATTGTTTACACACATAAGAAAAATGTAATTTCTGCCTTTTGTGTAAAAAAAAAAAAAAGTCACGTCTCTGACAGTGATGAGTAGAAGGGCATGGCTAAGAGAAAGCATATGGCTAGTCCTGTAGATACGGTTATGCAAAGGCCTCCCCATATGACAAAGCCAGACACTCTTCAACATCCAATCAGAATAGACTCTCAAGGGCACATCATAATGTACAACTTGGATTTGCTGACCCAACCTCTCCAGCAGGTGGTTGCAACATGTCCCGTGCCTATTGCATATGAATATCACAGTTCCTATTGCACTGGGAATATATACTGAAACAGTTGTGCGAGCAACACATGCCGACTCCCCACTTGTCCAAGGCCGAGTGCTTTAACCTGGTGTTGTCTCAGCTGGCAGGGACCTGAATGCCACGAACGCCAACGCTACCTGTAATCTATCGTAAACCATCCAAAACCCTTAACCCTTCATGCGTGGCCTCAGGAAGAGTCGGTGCTCTCTGGCTCAATGGCAGCGGTTCCCACGGCCTCCCGGATGAATGGGAGGCGCCAGGATGGGGGCCATCGCAGGAAGACGGGGGGTCTGAGGGTGTAGAGTGTGGAAAAGTGCTGGCCCCAGAAGGACGGGGAGAGGCGCAGGAGCCCATCTGGACTAGCCTTCAGGTCTTGGGAGTGAGTGAAAGAGGGGAGCACAGACTCGGACAGAGGGAATGGTTCTCTGTAACAACCAAAAAAAATGAAAGGAAGGGGGGGGGGGAATGGGAAGGGGGAAACAAAGAAAAACAAAAAGTTATACAGGTTCTCAATAGTAGGGGACAAAAATGGAGATGGGAAATCAATGCTTAAAAATGGAAATGCAGGAACTCAAATGACCGTGGACAAACACACAGGATGGACTAACAAAAAAAAAAAAAGAAGGGGGGGGGGGGGAATGGGAAGGGGGAAACAAAGAAAAACAAAAAGTTATACAGGTTCTCAATAGTAGGGGACAAAAATGGAGATGGGAAATCAATGCTTAAAAATGGAAATGCAGGAACTCAAATGACCGTGGACAAACACACAGGATGGACTGTGACATGGTGAATGGAAAGCACAAGTGATGTTTGGAAAGAGAACATAGAGAAATGATTAGTCCCCAAATCAGAAAAGGATGGCAGCAAGATAAGTTACAACAATGAAATATTCTGCAGCACAGGTGACATCGATTTAATACCCAATTATAACTGACATAAGGCCTTGGCTGTTTCCAATCATACATTTTCAGAAGAATACCCAATTCACTGCAGCTTGACCTCCGATAGAAGCTGCTATACTAAATATATGATCACTCAATGAGACCGTCTGTCATCAAGAAGGTGACTTATGAGAGCACAGCTATCATTTTATTTTATTTTGAACGTGCTATCCACCAAATGGACAAGGTCTCAGAGAGAGAGTTAAAGGGTGACTCCTTCAAGGTCATCAATGGACAGAATAATAAATGGTTAATGGTTTAGAACTTCATACACAGATGGGATTAGATCTGTCAGTTGAGGGAAGGTGAAGGATCTGCTTTGTCAGCTGTACTGATGCAGATAATAGTTCAAGAACCAGCTACCTGGACACCATGGAACTGGAGTGAGAGTGGCTCGAGGAGGTGGTGGCGGCACTGAGTTGAGAGAAACCGCTGTGGCTCGATTCCAAGCTGGTCATGGAACCCCTAAAGAAGAGATGGAAAGAGAAAAGAAAAGCGAAATTTTAGGGATGCACTGAAATGTTTCGTTATTACTTACCGATAACGGGATTTCTATGAATCTTCCAGGACAGCAAGCCTACTTAGGTTGCTGGCCTGGAAGATGATTGGAGAAATGACATTTTTAGACTGAAATTTCAAAATTTGTTAGGCCTAAACTGAAACCAAAAATCACTTTTTCAAACCTTTTTGTTTAAGGATTTGTTAATTTTTTTTTATTTTTTTTACGGTTAGGGTCTTTGGGGAAATATCAGGGGTCTAAACAGACTCTTGATATTTCCCTTTAAAAACAAAAAGAAAAAGAGATTGAGGACACTGCAGTTTCTAATGAAATAATACCCAGTGATCTTGCTATGAAGGTCCATGCTCAGGCACTTTCTGCAATAGGGTGACAGCACTCTGTGCCTCTCGCTCCTGTGTTGTCACCCTGTCACATTCTCTGAATGGAGACTACAAGTGGACATTTCAACACACATTACACAGGTACAGTCCACTGTTGTAATCATTAGGAAACTTGCCCTGAGAAAGCCCATGCAGCCATGCAGGAGATCAGAGGCACTGAGATGCAAGAAAGGATGAAAAAAATGTGAATAGGTAGTTTTTTAAATTATTTATGCCTCAATATACAATATAGAAGGTGACTATGTGCACAGCAAGAACATTCCATTTATTCATTTATGACCCGCACATCGTAGGGTCCCTAGCGTTGCTAAAAAGTTGTAATAGTTTCTTGTGATGTGACTTTACTTGGGGGTGAATAGGTAGTTTATTAACCCTTTTGTGACCACTGACGTACATCGGTGGCAGCAAGGCTAAACGGTTTACCTTTGTAAAGCTGGCTTTACAATAGAAGCGATTCTGGTGGCTCAGCTGCCGCCAGATCACTTCTTTGGGCCAGTAAAGTTACCCCTGATGCAAAATGGCCGCCCCCCCTCCCGCTCGACACCTCCGCCGTGTTTTCCGGGCTCTGCCGCTCTTCCTGCGGGCCAGGGACTGGCATGTCGGGTGCCAGCGGGAGCTGGGGAAGAGAGCGGCACCGTTCTACGGGACTGGGAGCGACGCAGATTGCATCACTTCCGGTCCCTGAGCTGTCATTGCAAAGTACATCATAAAACACTGATTTTCTTAATAGTTTTCACCCGTTTCCATCTTTTGTTGCATTTCAGTGTTACGGATCTCCTGCAGCCATTTCCTGCCTACATATGCTCCAGTGATGGCTACATGGCATATATCAGGAACAGTTTTCTAACTGTGACAAACGTGAACAATGTCTGCATGGTCTGAATTTATATGGCAGCTTGTTAGTCTCCATTGGGAGCATGTGACAGATTAACAAAGCAGGAGTACAAATGGGAGACAGGGACGGAGTGTTGTCACCTTACAACAGGAAGTGTCTGAACAACATCTTCATGACTTAAAAATTATGAAATGATAAACATGATTAAAAGGCTGATATGACATTTTAGACATTGGGTTTATCTATACTTTAAAAAATGCCAACGGCTGATGATACACAGGGCAATAGTAAATAAAGGGCAGTTAGTTTTTATATCTACTCTAAAAGTAAATAACTGAACTGTACCTAAAATCCTCAGAGCCAATGATCTCGGTGTAGAACATCACTTTGCATTTGTGGGAGGAGACTTGTAGGGATGCAAGGACATCGTCCACACGTGGGAGGCTGCTGGTGGCACAAGCTGGCATGCTATGAAATTTCCACTGCAGGATGTAGAAACCCGGCCAGCGGGTCACATGAGAACCCTATAAAAAAATATATCAAAACTGTGACTGCAAAACATCCAAAAAGTGAACGACAGCCAAAGCTAGAACCCAAACTAGAAATATAAGATATTGCAGCTTACAAGCCGTTAGATGCTGCAACTGCATTTGTTTTCTTTTCATATAGTAATCATGTGAATAACCCACTTCCTGTTCTTGGGTGGATATGCAAACTCCTCCACTGCATCTATGGAGGGAGCCTTGGTTGTCACCCAGGCTGGAGACACACACACACACACACATTGCCCAAAATCAGTGCAGTAGAGTGCATTTTGGGCGATAGTTGATGTTGAATGTTAGCTACTTTGGCTATTACTGTCGTCAGCACTGCCAACATTTTTACGCTAACCTTTCCTGTAACACAGTGTTGAATTCTTTATTGACTGGCCGGTAAGTGTGCTGGAAACATGCACCTTACCCTAAAGAGCTACTTATTGATTGCTGATACATACTTGGTCTGCAGCTGCTTGTGTGCTTTGTCGGGCTTCTAGTGTGTATATGCATCTTTAAGGAGAAATTGGTTACCTCCAGGCATACCTGCCATTAATCTATTTATTGCTGTGCATGTGTGCATGTCCCAGGTTGGAAGCTTTGTTAGAATGAGGAGCACACTATACAGAGTGGCCATGACTGGGCAGTGTGCCTTCCACATAGATGTGCTGCAAATAGATGCTATATATGCTATTAACACCTCTGCTTTTAATATAGTATTTAAAGTGACACTAAACCTTAAAATGCATTCAAGTACCCTGTTAACAAAAATGTATCTTATTTGTGTATCACTCGGCTGTAGATCCTCAAATCATCTCTGAATTGGTGCTGACACTGTCCTTCCTTCTGGGAGGGGGGCTACTTTTGTTCCCCATGTTCTCTGTGTGTAAAGCAGTCTCCGCTCCAAGCTCACTCCCGTGATGGACTACAATCCCATGTTTATTTTACTAATTTGTATTGAGCTTCTAGTCCATCACAGGAGTGAGCTTGGAGGGGTGGCCACTTTACAACACACACAGGGACCATGGGGAACAAAAGTAGCCAGTAAGAAGGAAGGACAGTGTCAGCACCAATTCAGAGATGATTTGAGGATCTACAGCCGAGTGATACACATTTAAGGTTCAGTATTGTTAATAGTTAAGGTACTTCAGTGCCTTTAATGCCCGAGTTTCGTGTCACTGGAGTGCTGGGTATTTCTACTTTGGACTTTAAATATGTCTGCCTTTGTTCATCTCCATTATATGGGGGTGGGGTTAATAGTTTACATAACAAAGATAACATTATTTTTGCTCCCAGTTCACCTAACAGGAAGTGACAAGGACACTGCATTTCTGGCAGGGTTAGCAGCTATTTCTCTATTCTTGCTAAAAATGTTCTCAGCGTGAAAATAAGAAAACGAATGCCGCCATCACATACACGGACTGGTACGCTGCATTATATACATTTTTTTTCCTTGTTCTTGGCTTTAATTATTCTTTAGTTGATATCCGATACCACTGTACAGTTCCTGGAGTGCAAACCTTATCCACTGCCTGTGCCAGGACAAAACCTCCTACAGCAACCCGGAGGAACTTCAGATGTATGGAAGCATTTTACACGCACACAGGTCTTCTTCCATTTAGAAAGTATGCGCTCTTTCAGTTTATTGTATAAACGTGGCAGTACAAAACTAAAAAAGCGCCCATTTAAAACAGCAACATTCCGAACCATATCTAGCCCATTGTCACGCTAGAAGTAAACAAAGTCGGTTACCTGCACGCTCTCTCCTTCCTTGCAGGTCAGCGGAGACTCCACCATACTGTAATCGCGGCCCAACTGCCAAGCCTTGTCAATTAACTGCACATTGTTGCACACGGGAGAGGTGATGCCGTGAGCTCCAAGGGTATCCCGTTTGGGCACTTGTGGCGCCCTCTTTGAGTGGTAAATATTAAAAACAATGTCCCCTTTACAGACATCAAAGTCCCAAGTGATCACAGAAGAGGCATCCACGATCTGGATCGATAGCTGCAAAGGTAAAATGAAAATATATAGAATAAATATCAAGAAAAATAAACCTTTTCTACAGAATGTTGTCCTATAATGAAGCAATTATAATTAATTTCAGAATTGATTTTTCCATAAAAATGTTATACCTTTTTTTTGGGGACACACAGAGCTTTCTTTTGGTGGTATTTAATCCCCACTGGGGTGATTACTAAACAACAACAAAAATACCCAAAATGTTTTTAAAACACGGTTTTCCCTACGTTGTTATTAAACATTACCCAAATTTTTGGGCAAAATATAAAAGACGGGGTCACGTCGAGTAAATAGACACCAAACATGTCAAGCTTGTTTGCGTGTGTATGTGGGGGCAGGGGTTTGTCACATTTTTTTTATATGTGATTTTATTTACACTTCATTTGATTGCTATCACATAGGGGGGCTAAGAAACCCAATATGTGATAGCCAATTTATGTGACACATCCTCTTTATGGAGACATTAGGGGTCTCTACCAGTCTTGGAGACAGTGGGATTGGGGATCAAGGTAAGTAAATGTCCTATACACCGCTCCTATAAAATGAGCCGTTAACCCAGATCCCGGAAGTATGTTCAGCTGGTTTGGTTTTGTGATTTAAAGGTGATCTGGCACAATGTATCCCAAATGTTTAACAGTGGAGAACATGAAGATAGGTGGTTAAGAAAACATCCCATATCTGTATGTTGTGTTCCACCGCTGTCACCTTTTAGGCCCCCTTCATCCGTTGTGATGCGTTAACTCAATTAATTTAGAATGCCAACGCACCAAGAAGAAAGAAAAAAAAAGGAGTGACATAAACCTTTCTTTTTTTGTATTGCAGAGCACAACAGCATGTGGTATAGCACGTTGCCCTCTAATGTAGTAACATTATGGATGGTGCCACAACACATAGTGCAAACAGCTGTGTGTTAAAACAATATTATAACACAACATAAGAAATCATCAAGACATTTATTGCATAATAGGATTTTTATAATGCTTTTCAGCTACACGCTGCGCTGGCTCACCGTTTAAAAAAATATTCTGGCCCGGGAATATTAAGCTGTGAAATACTGGAACCTACTAGGCCTAGATTAGGATTCCTGGTCATGAAGGGGCACAGTATTTTGGTGGAAAGGCCGGAATATAAAGCTTTTATTGATCGTACCTCATGTGGGGCACCTTTAAACACGCTGGCTGACTGGTAGATGGTCTCGGTCCACAGTCTGATATCCTCACTTTCCAGCTCCTCCGGAGTCCGGTACAGAGCTTTGGGAACCAGCCCACCCTCTGGAACCTCACACTGAAACACAGTACACAAAGCACTACTTGTAAGGATGATGCAATGTGCCATTCATTGACAGTTTTCTAAGAGACAGTTATTTCTACAGACAGCATGAACTATATAAAAAAAAAAAGAAAATCCATACTCACTCCTACATATACACCTTCATTCTGTCCATGATTCATTGATTATTATACTATAGAGCAGGGGTTCTCAACCTGTGTAACCTCAGGACCCACATTTGTCCTTGGTCTTAAGTCGTGACCCAAGTCGCACTGCAATGGAACACACAGCATTGCAGTACCGCGTGTTCCAGTGCGGGCGATCGAATTGTGGGTGGGAGGTGCGTTTGGGGTGCCATTCAAATGAATGGCAATGCAACACACCTCCCACACAGTGTGTTAATCACACAGGACTCTGCGATGAACACACTGTACTAGTGTGAACACTGACAGTCACAATCTCTCACACACACACACACACACAAACAAACACTCTCACACACTCCAAAAATGTTTTTTAAATATTTTTTTCATTTTTTAAGATCCACCCAGTCTCCCTATCTTATGCAACTGGAGTGGATCCTCAGCCTGGGGTCTAGTGTGGGCTGCTGTGCTGTGACGGAGCTCCATCCATATGTGCATTGTTTGTACAGCTCCCTTGCACTCCCTGTAGAGGTGTGAAGTCACTCCAGTTCAGGCATCTCTACAGGACAGAGTGAGGGAGCTGTAAGCAATGCAGGCACGGATCGAGCTCTCTTGCGGCAATAGCCCCATCCCACCCCACCCCAAGCTTAAAATGAATGGCTGCTTGGCGTGAGAACTGAAAGTGCCCGCGTTAGGGGGACGCGGAGGAGCCTCTCACCTAGAAAAGTGGATGGAGGAATCTTATCTGCCGGCTCAATGTTGTCAAAATACCAGAACAATGACTGCAGCGGACTGTCTCCAGTCATTGTTTGGTCGACAATTTTTCACCCAGCTCCTTCGACAAATGTCGAAGGAGTCGAGCCAGGTGGTTCTGGCAAGACAACCCATTGATCGAATTCTGGCTGATTCAGTGTATGGCCAGTTTTGTTATTTACTGGGAACAGGTGTCTCGGACTTTCCTGACCTGCATACTTGTACAAGAAGCATCAGAAAGAACTGAAGACAGTGTGTCCAAAAAACAGCCAGACAATCAGCATGGTCAGGAGGAGGTAAGCAACAGAAGCCCCCGTATTTTTTTGGGAATCTTGCTGGAGTTCCATGCATCTCAACACATCTGCCTAGCGGGGATTATGGGATGATTCCTCCCTACGCTGTCAATTGTGGTGTAATAAAAGCCAATCATTCTGGCAGTAGGCCTTGCCCATAATCATTATTAGGTTACTCACCAGGCACTCTCCCCCGAGGAAATCTGGAATCACTTCTTTGTCAATGTAATCCACCAGTCCTCCAGGACCTTGGTAGTCATTACCAGCATAGATAAGGAACTTCTTCCTTGTATTCTCATCTATAAAAGGACTGACCTGAAACATGACAGAGCAGAAACAAGGCTCGGTACTCTGCATTATGCAAGCTTCAGGAATGGTAGAGTAATGAAGCTACAATTTAGGTATTATTCATATTTCCCTGCTGTGTAGATGGTGAAGCTCTGGGGAACAAACATACCAATGTCCACAGAACTGGAAATACTCTGGGAGCTCGCAAGATCAACAGCCGCCCCAAAGTCTCTGGGTAGTTTGCTTCCACCACTTCAATGATGCGCAGTAAAGCCTTGACCCCTGGCCTCCACAAATGCCTCATATTGAGTCCTTCCAAATCCACAAGGCAGGTCCAGCAGCTGCAGATGACAGCAATATAAACTAAAGTTAACACATATGACTTTGGAAATATAATTATTTATTTGCTATGAGTACTAAACACATTTGATATAGTGCTTACAAATGCATCTGTGTGACTATCACTCTCTCTTCCGGTTTCTGCAGCTGGCCCCCAATGACGTGTGGTCAGGTCTGACCGCCAGCCGTTCCTGCAGCCTCCTGGAATAAGTGACTGGGATATAGCAGGAGGCTGTAGGATCAGGACACATCATTCTCACATAGGCAAGGGCTGAAGTGGATGGAGCCGGAAAAAATTATATAAAAAGAAAAAAACGGACCCCCCCAGCGTTTTATATTGCGCAAGGAGGAATTGCAGGAAGCTAAAGTGGACCTGGGCATTGAAGGTCCACTTTAAGGTGGGGGCTGGAGAGTTATGTTTGCCATACTTAACCCTGTCTGTACTGTCCTGGTAAGATCTCATTATCAGTTAAACTACATGCACATGGTCTGTCCTAACAGTTAAATATCTCAAGGTTTGGATGGTACATTGTATGTTAATGCCCTTAATGCACATCTGTCCCTTAATTGCACAGTGCAAGCTATTCTTTATACATGCTGCCTAGATTTAATTTTTATTACACTAAGTCATACACAGGTCTGGTCAAACTCTTCCAACTGGACATCCAGCCCCCAAAACCCAACTTTCATAGCTAAAATACATGCAATGGAGCCAGCCTTATGAAGATCACATCATACATACAGCTTTACGGATTGGATTTTTTCTGTAGGCTTGCATTTTCTTTAATTGTACCTGGTTATCCTGCCAGTAAGAGATTGTACAACTTCCCCTCCTAGGCCAACACTTATGAAATGCCTGAGCAGAAGCAGAGTTGTCACCCTAATACAGACTGCAGGCGGACATGCTGATGCAAAACATATCCTACATATCCTACTTGCATGCATGCCTTTAACAGTGCAAAGGATCATCGGACATGTAGTCCAAGAGGAGCTGGACACATTCCAATAAGATGTGCACCCATGACATGGACTATATCAGCTTCTATTCATTACTCACTTTATGTGTGCGGAAAATTAATTTTAAAGAACTCCGGGTAAAAAATGTATTAATTAGAGATGAACCGATACTAGTATCGGTGCCGATACCAAGTATTTGGGTAAGTACTTGTACCCGCCCAAATGCTCAGGAAGATTTCCTCTGACCAGCAGTTCCATAGGGGGACATGGAGCCAGTTGCATGCTTCCCGGCCGAGCACAATCACACTGGCCAGACAGCATGGAGCCAGCTTGTCGGGCAATCAGATTGCCCAGGAAGCCGGCTCCATGCCAGTGGAAGCACCGGTGTCGGTACTTGGAATCGACGAGTACCGAAAGCAAAGTATCAGCACTTGTATTCGATACCAAAAAAGCGGTATCGGTGCATCCCTAGTATTAACCCTTGCAGTGGGGCTACCCTCACACTGCAAGGATTAAGTGCTCGTTTTTACTTAGGATCAAAAAGTAAAAACAAAATCATACTCACCCGATCTTCGGAGCTGGCTTGCTCCTAGACCAATCCCTGGAGAATCTCTCCTCCTCCGTCATCAGGTTCTATACAAAGTGTATGGAACGTGAGGACGCTGAGGGACATACCATTGCTGCAGTGGAGGAGTAGACAGGCAGGAGGGAGCACTGTCACATGCAGCCGATTCGGAGGATTGGGTGAGTATGACCTTATTGTTTTTGACCCTAGGTAAAAACCAGCACTTATCCCTTGCAATGCCAGGGTAGCCCTACGCCGAGGATGAATACAATTTCTACCCAGAGTTCTTCTATAACATTTAATGAATAAAAGCCTTCTGAAAAATTAGTCCTTATGACTATGAAATTAGCCCGTCAACAGACTGATCTGCAGTACATGTAACACTGTTACAATATCATTTTGATTCTACAAATTTCACAACCAAAAAGTACACCGCAATAAAGAGTAAAGCGATCATCTGCAAATTGTAATACACATCTACATTGTGCAATATTTCCCTTCCAACATTATCAATTATAAAATGTAATATTAATTTTATAATAGTTCCACAACCATGAACAGCCCATACAACCCTTACAACCAGCTCCTTTCATTATGAGCCACCTTGTGGTATCAGATGTTCATTACCACCAAGGTGACTTAGATCTACCTATTACAGAATTTCCAGACATCCCTAATAGAAATGCTTTATTCAGAAAAGATTTTTTGCTGGGCACACGATGCTTTCTTTTGTCAATATCATCTTACAAAATGTTATTTTAATGCATTATTTATAACAACTTGTTATTTTCATTTTTATGCAATCTAAAGTCAAAAAGACATTAAAAAAATAAAAAATAAAACACATAGGAAGGCCAACATTTTACAGTTGTCACCAGAACAAGAGGTGATCGTTAATTTGATGAGCCACAGAGAAGTGTCACCTATGTCAAAATTTTGAGTACCACTTTGTTGCCATTTCGCAATTGCATGCGCAGGTTTTACGCTTGACGAATTTGGCATCCATTACTACGACACAATCTCTTTTTTACTTAAAAATAGAAATTGGGGATTGTGTGTGTGTGCCTGCTAAAATTAAGTTGAATGTATTTTTTCTATTGAAAATACAGATTTGATAAACAATTGTGCAAATATTGTAAAACAAACATTTACAACTAACAGCTTTTATTCTTCAGGGTTTCTGCTTTTAGAAAAGATATCATGTTTTGGGGGTAATAAGCATTCTTCATGCCAAAAATACACAATTCAGCATCGATGTGTAATAGAAAACAAAAATGAAAAACCTTTCTCTGGCAAAAGGGTGAGGTAATGAGTGGAACTTCTAATGATACACAGATTGCGTTTCAAGTTTGATTCATTAGGTGTAGATTGTATGTGTTGGCCCATACTTAAATATATTCCTCAGTAGCCAGACAGGATATCAATTCTATTTGTGTGTTTTCTAAATGCCTTTGCAAGCCCGGGCATCTTGCAAAAGTAGCAGTGGCATTGTACATAGAGGAACAGCTGTGGGAGGGACCCAGCTCCACCAACTACAGGCTGCCTGCAGTAAACGGCTCGGTGGATGGATACAAGACCAGTCGCCCTGCACGAGGAGAGAGAGAGCAGTAATGATCGGTCTTTATTACAGGAAGCTCCTGCACACAGGAAACATTTCACACTGGATTACTGCACAGATCTGGAAGAAGTACACAAAGCACACCAAGATTCCAGTAAGATTACACATGCCTCTTAAATATTATCTTCAGTATGTAAATGGAGAAACAACCCTTACCTGATGGGTCGTCCAAATATTTTGGTATTCTCTTCACAGCGCCTTAGTCCTTCCTCATTAATGGAGAGCACCTGGCAAAGGATGCGTAAAAAACAAAAAACAAAATGATACGTTAGGTCAAGTGATTTGTATAAAGGCTTTAGTTAGAAATCTGCCCAAAATATATTTTATTTAAATAGATTTCCCATTACTTCTAACCCGATAGAGGTTCTAACCCTTTAATCACCATACCCAGGCTGGTACAGTATCGGTAGATGGAGAGCCTGACCAGTTCGAATTTCTATGGTCCCGTGTAGACGCGCTTTGAGCTTGTGTCCATGGCATCAGTTTAAGATGCTTCTGAGATCATTCAAAATTCACTGACCTGCTTCAACGGGTTTTGTATTCCCATACACTTGTATGCTAATGCAAAACTGAGGAATACAAAACCCACTGACACAGACCCCCAACTATGGTGCCTACTGAACTACACAGCCATATGTAGACTTCCTGCGGAACTGCTGTGACAGGGAAGTGGAGGGGAAGAGTATAAAAATGGAAGTTGTTAGTACAATGTCCATCTAACTGGATTTAACAAAAATGGAGACAACTTACATGCCTAAGGAGAGACTCTTCACCCAGAGCTCTGACCAGCCCCTTGGTGTCCATCTGTCCAAGCCTGAGCAGATACAGCGGTCGGCCATCTACAAGGTGATACAAATTTTTCAGTTTAAGACAAATCCCAGCCTTGAGTAGAAAATAGATTGTATTGGAGACAAGTATAATATCAGACTGTAGCGATCATATTGATGTATAGCTTGATATATAGATTACACTATGCAGCATGGAGGGAGGAATCTAAAGATTTCTCTCGTTCTCACTAACCGCATATGGCCAGCTTTACTGCACCTCATTTAATGTTTACAGACAAAACAGAAAATTGGCTTTGGCCACTGCACAATACAACTATAAAAATGCAAACAGACTGCCTACTAGAGTCAACACCAAGTACAATCTAGAATTAGGGAAAGTGTGCACACCTTTGTCGTGATGGTGCCAGCCTCCAGCATAATGATCATGCAGGACCTGTGGGGGGCTCCAGGTGCTCAGCAGGTAGTCAACTTGGTGCTGCTTACGCCAGGTGAGCGACTGACAGAGGATTTCCCTGGATTTGTCGATGTTAAAGTCCCGGGCACGCAAGAATCTCAGGATGTGTTCATCTTTGGGGATCTGTAAACAGATTACACATTATCATATGTTAATAGTTCACAGGCAACAGCCGCGCCAAATACTAAACCAAAAAAACCAAAAGTGCTCCCCAGCAATGGTGGGCAAGATGCCCTTCACGGTGCATGTAAAGCCCCCCAAAAAACCCAGTCCCTTTTTAACTGCTCAGTCAGGGGGTGTAGGCTTTGTTATAGGATGACAACGCTAACCAGAAGCTCCTATTGTAGAGGTAGCGTTGTCAATCTTGGACTTGTTCCTTCAGGAAGACTACAGGCAGTTGTGGTGAGGCACAGAGTCCATGATAGCTTCCCCTTTGTCACCACAGGGCCAGACCTTCTCAACCGCCCTGCCGTGCTCATCTGACAACAGCTACTTGAGGGAAGCACTCAGCACTCTATTACTTAGCATGGTCTTCAAAAGACCTGGGACTTCCTGAATGAATATACATCTATACAGATGTTTGTGGATTTCACAAGGTGAAAAGGATAAAATCGGTGAATGTGACAATTTTTTTAGGTCTTTAATAAATATGGAAAATGTAGTGCAAGTCTATAGAAAACCACAGATCTGCCACTACATCATGGCAAAAATAAAATGGGTGAATCTGCAGAACAACAGTGAATGCATCCTGGGTGAATCAGACAATTGATCCCTTATCAACAAACACCACCCATGAACCTAAAGCCTTGCAACATCTTAAGACTAAGCAGAACTTACTTTGCCTTTGTGGGTTTCCTGCAGCCACTGTCTCAGGCGGATAAGGCAGCTCTCCTGCAAAGGTGTGAGGTCTCCCAGGTAACGTTTAATGTAATCTGCTTCAAGTTTGTCTGCAAAACAAAAAGAAACGTAACCCAAAAATGCTGGGAGACTGATCAGCACAGCTAGTTTAGTCTGCCTCACTAAAAACTGTTCAATTAAATCCCTAACGTTGTTCATGAATAGATTCATTCATGTCACCGTTTGCAAAGCATGCTGGACTTTCTTTTAAGAAAGCCCAGCACTATTATCCTGCTTTCTAGCAAAGTGTGGTAATCAGCTAGTTAAGACATTGCCTCTTTTGCTAGAAAAGGAAGAAAATGGTATTAACTTGGTTACAAATAATTTCCCCCCCCCCATGTTTTAGTATTAAGAGAAAATGTAAAATAATAGGAATAAAAAAAAACAAAACACTAAAGATTCCCTTTAAAGCTGAACCCCGGACACAAAATCTTTCACTCAAATATATTACTCAAAGGCCAAAAAAAAGATATAAAACCACTTTGCATGTCTTTACAACCCGAAATATTACCTTTCAAAAGTAGTGATGAGATCATCACCGTGCTCTAAAAATAACCCGTGCTGAGAACACAGCTGTGAGAGGGATCCAAAAGCCCAACCCACTACAGGCTGCCTGCAGAAAGCTACAGGAGGGGGCGGAGACAAGACTAGTCATTTTACACAAGGAGAGAGCAGCAGTGACCGGTCTTTATTGCAGGAAGCTCCTGCACAGAGGTAAAGTTTCACACTGCATAGATCTAAGTAAGATTAAAGTAAGAATATACATGGCTTTTGGGTTTAAACCTGAACTCTAGGATCAGCAAATATTGCCTAAAGTCATGACAATACAACTTTATTGGAATTTACTTGTTGCTGGAGAGAAAAAAAACAAAAACTGCCTTGGCACTAGACTGGTAGTTTATCAGAGGCGTACCATCGGGAGTGCTGCTTAGAGGCTCAGGAGGACTGGATGAAGTGGGATGGCTATCCCTGCTGATCGGCCCATCAGTAGAAGTTTCAGTTGGTATGTTCAGAGCAGGGGATGTGGGACGGCTTGAGGTAGAGGTGATACACTCTTGCTGCTTGGTGGCAGGAGTCCATCGAGGCATGTACGATATGTCTTCCTCCTCCATTTGGTTCAAGTAATAGTCAATTATTTCCTTACCCTGAAGAAAAAAAAAAAGGTTACTTCTAGGAGGTGCACCGAAAGGGAAATTTCAAAACCGAAACCAAAATAAAAATGTTAAAAATGCTAGGCCGAAACCAAAAATGTTTATTTTTTTTTTAAATATTTTTTAGAAACTTAATTTTTTTATATATATATTCATTTTTACTTTACTTTTAGGGGCTTTGGGGAAATATTAGGGGTCTAAAAAGACCCCCGACCTTTCCCTTTTAAAATAGAAAAAGAGATTGAGAACAGAGTCCTCAATCTCTTTTTCTGCAGCCCCAGTTATATATGAACAGGAATCCTCTATACTGAGTGTTCCCGTTCATTCATAACATGAGGACAGAGTGTGTTTACTATAACCACAATTATGAATGAACAGGAGGTGATGTAGATCACTTCCCATACATTCATAATTGAGGATATAGTAACCATACTCGGTCCTCAATTATGTACAAACACTCAGCGATCACTTTTTGTACTCACTCTCCTTCCTGACACGCTGTCACAGGAGGCTGTGCGAGCGAGCGGTGCGGAGAGCTCAGCCTCCTGTGACAGCGCCAGTTGTCTCCGCCCACACACCGCTCTGCCGGACTGTGATAGGAGGCTGAGCAGTGCGGGGAAGAGAGACGCCGGCCGCTCACAGCGCTAACCTCCCGCAGCGTTCGGCCGCTTGTGACACTTTCTCTCCTCCCCGCTGGGTCACAGAGCACCGCCCAGCGGGGAGGAAAGAAAGAATGGATGCACCGCTGTATCGGCAGAAAAACTGCACTTTTGGCATTTAGCCAAAGGAACCATTTTCGGCCGATATGTTTCGGCGGCCGATATATCGGTGCTTCCCTAGTAACTTCACAAATACAAACCATTTGCAGAGCATTTTCACTGTGAAAAGAGGAGACTCAGACCTTCTTTATATTGCTGGTATACTGCTTCATGGCAATCTTTTCCACTGTGCTCTCAAATCCAAAGAACGATTTGATGTCTAAGCTTGCCGACTGCTCAAAGCAAGTCCATTCTTCATTGTCGGGGTGTACCTGGAATGAAAGGCAATTTCATTGTTACGGCCAATCTTTTATGCCTCATCTTTTCAACTAAAACCAAGCCAGCTGCAAATTACAGTACATTCTAATTGTTAGAATGTACCTGTTGCTGAAAAAACTAACATAATAATAAAACAATAGGTATACTTTTTGTATCTAAATAAAATAATATTTTTTACTCAAGCAATTTTGTGATTAATTGGTACTTGCCGCCTGGTGCCCTCTAAGCCCCATCTTTTCTTTGCTATCTTTTTGACAAATAAAAAAATAGGTACTGTAAAAAAACAAACACTTTATAGCTATCTGTCGGGGTGCCTAATCATAGAATTTCCACTCTGTTGCTGTGCAAAGCCATCAAAAGCATCATTGCATCTAGCACACCAGTGTGTCAGATGACTGTGTCCCCTGCTGTATCCAATGGTTCTTCCCACCCGCCCCTACAGTCTCCTGTAGTGAGAAGGGTTGGCAAGCGGAACCGTATAGTGCAGAGGTGGGAGAACAGGCATCCAACACTTTCCAAGGTGTATCACATGTGAAGATCCCTTGGACGGCTTTGCATGGCAGCAGAGTGAAGATCCTGTGAAAGGACACCAGGACAGATAAAGGGAGCGATTTAGTATAGCGTTTGCAACACTTTTTTGGTGGTGTGGTCCCTGTGTCCAATTCACAAAAGCCTTGTTACAGTTTCGTTATGAGTTCCAACACATTGTGACAGATTCCGGTAGTTCTTATTTGCGCCACTTTCACAATGTGTTGCTGTGGCTGCGACAAATTCAAAAAGAATTACCACCAGTTCGTAGCTGAAGAAACTGGAGGTAATTAAGACAAACTCTAAGTTGGATACAGAGACAGGCCAGAGTGCCCAGACACTGGCTGCAAGGACGTGGCCTTGAGCACAGTGTACTTGGTTGCTAGGACGCTGTCTGCTGTAGAAGTCCTTGTATGAAAACATATTTTAGGCCAGTGATTCTAAGAGCTGAAGCAAGAGGGTCAGCATAACAGCCAGGTGACAAGTCTTTTTGGAAGGGGAGCTGAGAAACAGCAGATGCTGGTTATATAGCAAATATAGTAAAGACAGGATATGGTGAGGTCAGCAAAAAGGAACCAAAAATCACTCCAGTTAACCAATGAAAGCACACCCAAGTCTTCTTAAAAACAGAAGGTACCTGTATCCAACAGCAAGCCCCCAACAACTGCAGCAGCACAGATCTAGCCTTATATTATACAGCCCCCCCCCCCTTTTTTTTTTATTTAAAGTGCACGTAGTAAAGTTACAATTAATGACATGGACCACATGTGCTTAAATAAAGAAATCCTGCAAAAAAAGCAATTTGGTAATGAAAAGAAAAGATGATAGAAAAGTGTGCTCCGAAACTCATCACTGCCTCAGGAATGCATTAAAACCACAACACTGTGACAAAACGCACATGTTTTCGAGCATTGGGGCACGCTATGTTGGGTGCCATTCAAAATTAACTGGATACCAATGTACGGTGTGTTACCACAATGCGAATGTGAAAACAGTCTTAATGTTACCATTGTTTTACTGTTCAAAAACTAGTTTTGGATAAAGTGGGAAAGGATTAGAACTCCTGTTGGGTTTTTACTGCTATCTGGGGCTTCATTAGAGAGATTCTCTTCACTTCCTGTTCTGCTGACAAAGGTTTCACAAGACAGAAAGTGAGGAAAAAGCTGCAACACATACACAATTATTATTCTGACAGAGGTCCTAGACTTCCTTTACTCTACTAAAGAAAAGCACGTTATGTCTGTCTGTGTTGCTGTTGTAGAGTTCCCCTCCCTGTCTGTTGGTAAACTGTTGCCAGCAAGACAGGAAGTGAGGGAAAATCTCTCTATTGGAGCCCGATTAACAAATGTATGTGATCAAACAAAAAGTCTGTGTTGACAACTGGAATTTTCTTCACATTTTGCAAAACTGCACCTGAAAGAAAAAAAATAAAAGGAATTTGATTGGCTGGTATGAGCAACACATTTTCCTATCAGATAGGAAACTCCTAACAAAAGCAAACCGCACAGTTGTATCCTCCTTAGACAGGTTTATATTTGGATGCTGCCTTAGTGCAGCCCTAATCAAGCATGGTGCAGTGGCACCCTGGGTGGCCTTACAGCTTTGTCAGGGGTGCCTCGAAATTTTTGCACAATGTTATGCATTTCTATAGTGTAGGATGCTAACCCTGGATGGCTGCATTCAGGCCCTCCCCCGGCATTCAGAAGAGGACGGAAGCTTGCGTCCATCCAGACCTGCTATGCCTCCTGCCCTCTGCCGGAGCCGCACTGTGGTGTAGAACGGACTCTGTTGTGAAGTTAGGGGTGGGTACTAAGGACTATTATGTGAAGGGGGGCTCTTAAAGTAAAGTAATGCTTGTGATGTAAAAGGGTGGGACCTCCACATATTTTTTTTTTTCATTTGTGTGGGGGTCCCCCCTTAAAGCCCATACTAGACTCCTATCTAGGAATTGCAAAGTCATTTAGACTTAGGTGCCTAGAGATTTTGCATACTTAAAGGGTGCCATGACTGAAAGAGGTGGAGAAAATCTGCCTTAGTGCATACTGACCAATCAACTGTATAGGGTGAAAAGTAAAAACTTACAGTGTAACAGCAATACTCATGGACCACAATACGACTGCCAAAGGTTTCATTGTGAGCTTCAATTTGCAGAGTCCGTTCCCGTCTGTTCAAAGAATTTTTCTGGATGAAATAGACATAGTCTACTCCTGCAATCTAGAAAACAGAAAAAAAAATACACATAACATTAATATACACATATAATATATAGATTTCTATCTTCTGGGTAACTAAGCTACAACCAGCATTTCTATTCTGTGATAAAGATCTGGTTGGAAAATATGATGCACAAGATAGAAAAACATCCAAATTTACCTATAGACTGTTTTACATATGGCTGATGTAGGTCTCTAGGAACTGTGTAGGTCTCTTTAGATGGATCCAATCGCTTAAAAGTCATATTATAAAGAACTAAAATGGAATGCCAGGGCCTGTGATCCAATGCCGAGATGACATTTGTTCATGGTAATCATCCAAATCAAAAGGAAGACATCAAGAGAGTAGCTCAAAAAAAGCACTATACTTAATGTGCAACCGTAAAAGGTTACCTTCGACAAGCCTTGCTGTGTCACCTAATCATTTCCATATGCCAGTATTCGTATATGGAAATGTTTCAGTAGCACCGCAAAACACGTTGAAGGTAACCTTTACTTCTGCACATTATTTAAAGTGCTGCTGAGAGATTACATATTCTTTACTGTGGATGATTCAGCAGGGACGCCTTTTTAGTCAGCTGGCTGCTTTAGAACATTTTATATCTGAAATTAGGGTAATTTTAATCTCAATGGTATTATTACCGTGGTAACTGTACTACCTATTGTGTTTTTATTTAAAAAGAGAAAAAATTCTCTACAATATCCAAGTCATAGTCTTGTCCCCAATCCCATAGAAATGCTGGGGCGTGGTAGAAGCAGGCGGTTCAGGCTAGACATCTTTTATGTTTTTATATAGGAATGGGACTTAACTGCACAGTCCACTTTTTGCAAAAAACTTAAAAAATGCACCCATACTGCAAAAAGAAAAAAATGTGCATTAATTGTTTTTGACTGGAGCCTACAAAGCACTGCAGACGATTTGTATGGCCCCAGGTCCATACCAAGCTACGGACTATCCCTTATGGAGCTGGAGGAAGTTGTCAATGGCAGGGGTGTCCCTAAGCATCTGTCCAGCTCACTGGGTGGGACACCAGCCCGAGCGTCAAAGGTTGATAGGAGCTCTTCCCAAACTGGGACACTCTGGCAGGAAAGGGGGTGGCAGCAAACCTGCCGCTCCCCCCACCATGACCCAATGAGATGCCACCTGAGGCAACCACCTCAGGCAGCACTTATTAAAGGGGCAGCCCTGATCAATGAACTACAATTGCAGCGCTGTCACCGCAATTGTACTACACTACAAGACCCTCTGATTTTGAATGGATCTGCAAATAAACTACATGGCTGTGTGGGCCAAGCCAGACGCAGCTGTACTGAATTAAAAAAACAATACAGAAGTCTTCAGGCAAAACAACCCAATTCAATAAGTGTGTGGGGCTTCGGAAATGGCACCATGTTCCGTGTTACACACTATATTTGGGTGTAACGTGGTATGAAAAGGTAGAATTAGTAGAGATGCACCGATATATCGGCCACTGAAACATATTGGCCAAAAATGGCACTTTTGGCAAAATGCCTAAAGTGCCATTTTTTTGCAGAAATAGCGGTGTATCCTTCATTTCTCTCCTCCCCGCTGCTCTGTGTCCCAGCGGGTAGGAGAGAAACTTTCACAGGTGGCCGAGCGCTGCGGGAGGAGAGCGCTGTGAGTAGCCGGCGTCTCTCCTTGCGCTCAGCCTCCTCTCAGATCGTGAGAGCGGTGTGGGGTCAGAGATAGCCATCGCTGTCACAGGAGGCTGAGCTCTCCTCCTGCACCGCCCCTTGTGACAGCTGTCAGGATGGAGAGCAATCAGTGATCGCTGAGTGTTTGTAAATCGCAGAGTATGGTTACTATATCCTCAATTATAAATGCATGGTAGGTGATCTACATCACCTCCTGTTCATTCATAATTGTGGATGCGGTAAACATACTCTGTCCACAAGTTATGAATGAACAGGAACACTCGGCATAGAGGATTCCTGTTCATTTATAACAGAGGATGCAGAAAAAGAGATTGAGGACTCTGTGTCCTCAATCCCTGTTTCTAGTTTAAAAGGGGAAATATCAGGGGTCTGTTTGCCCCTAAAAGTAAAAAACTAAAATATTTCATAAAAATATAATTATAAAGTTTATACAAAACAAAAAAAGTTAAAAAATTTGTAAAAAGTTAAAATAAAAAACATTTTCAGAATTAATTTTTCATTTTGTTTTTTACATTTTCATTTGGGTGCCCCTCTAGGAATTAGGTTTTAACACCACACCACTGCACATGTTGAGCACAAGCTACTAAAAGCATTTCCTTGAATTAACTGCCAAGAGAAGCTGTTCCAATAACTTCATACTATATATGTATTTGCTTCATTGTATTTATTAAAACTCAAAGATCAGACCACATTTTAGGAGCCATTCATACACAAATCCATATAAAACCTATAGGCTCTTACACATTTCCACAAATTTAGACAAAGACAATTCACATCTACAAACAAATAATGGCAAACAGTCATTGTGCAATCCTGCTGTGCACATACTCAAATGCTGGTGGCATATAAGAGAAAGGTGTGATGGATTTCCTGATCTTCCAAAGAAAACCAGATGCAGGAAGAAGACAAGTTTGTTCTTGTAAATTGTCTCTTCCTACTTAGCAATTCAAAGACTTCCTTCAAAAGGAAAACAGTTTTTGGTGGTGAAATTTGTTTTAATTTTTGTATTGTTTTTATAGTGATCGTTTATACAATTTTGTTTTCATGACTTTATTTTACAAAGAAACATTTAATGACGGACGATGGGCGCTCCTTCATAGGAAGTCCAGAATTGTCTGCTCACTTGTTGACTGCTCTAACTAGAAATCCATGCTGATGTATTTAAAACAAACCTGAATAGCAGGAGATCAAACTACACAGGCTATTTGTAGCAGCGCAACCTATAGACTCTTTCCTTGCCCCCTAAGGTGACAGCACTAAGCCAATGGCATGGCACTGGTGCTGCCATATGGGAGGGAGAGAGAGTTATATGCTCAACCCATGCTCACAATGTGTTGGGCATTTCACTTTGCACACTGTGAAGCAGGAAAGAGGAAAGGTGAGTAGATGCTACTTTGGGGGGGCGTTGTCTGTTAACGCTGCCCTATAGCCTCACACAAACTTTTTAACAGGGGGGGGGGAGGAGACCATTAGGGCTTGTTCACACACTGTCCGGATCATGTTCAGACCAGAACAGTTTGTTCCCGAACCAAAAAAAGCATCCCAATGTATCCCTATGGTGTTTCTGAGCTATGTTCAAACCAGCGCAGTGCATTCCGGTCAAGAAAAAAATTAAATACTGTTTTCTCTGGTCTGGAATGCACTGGAACCGCATCAAAAATGCATACAAATGCACTGGAACGCACCTGTAAGCCCATTTTAAGTTTTAAAAAACGCAGCAAAATCGTGGTAAAGCGCACTGCACTGCGTTTGCAGATCTGGCCTGTACATGGTGCGAACATAGCCTAAAAGAGGAAAATGACAGCAAAGTCACCTTTACAAATGGCAAACTGCCAGATATTTATGTATAATTGAAGACTTTTTATTCTTTGCATACCTTGTCTTTTTCTCCCCATTCTCCTCACAGTGGCCATGTTTACTGAGGGCAGAATAATATATCTAGTTTGACTGGATGAGCAGCGCTAAAGAATTCAATTGATTAACATATGAACCTATACCAATAAAATATATACCATATACCAGTGAGGGGTGATTGAACACTAAATAAAAAATTGTGTGACTTAGACCTACTATGATCACTTATAATCGAAAGCTGCTGTAATATAGACCCGTGGGTCTAAAAGATATATCAACTGAATATACAGCGCTAAAGATTAATGGGTATTACATTATAACAGCTGTTTCTAACATGCAACTTTTTCGCTATGTTATAACAAGCGATATGTGAAAAATATTGTTACAATGATTGGTGTAAAAATCCTCTGCATAAGAATTAATACTGAAAATAATTAAATAAATTATAGTGTTTACCGTAACAGATGATCAAATTATAGTGCTATTAAATAATTCATATAAGAATTTTTGTGATGTGTGAAATAAACATAAATAAAATAACAAAATCACAATCTCTGTGTTAATTTGCCTCTGTGAAAAAGGTTTAACAAACTAAAGTCTTTGTGATATTCCAATCTGTTTCAATAGAGGTGATCAAAAACTTTCCATTACTATAATGTAATACCCACTTATCTTTAGCGCTGTATATTCAGTTTATATAGAATAATATATCTGCCTTTACTTCCTGGGACTCTGGCACATCATCCCAGGGGAGGGAAATGCCTTTCCCTGAGATCTCATGAGATTACAGATGAGGTTTCCCAACAATGCACTGCTCATGTAACCGTCCGAGGGTGCATCACTTAGGCACAGGCTACATCACTAATGCCCAAGAGGACCAGGAAGTGTAAAAAAAAGTAATTGTAAGTAAAACAAAAATATATCTTTATTTAACTAATCAATGTGAGATGATTTCATCATACAAAGCTGAGTGCTGACGTACTTTTTAGTGAAAGGTGGTAAAAGTCCGCTTCAACATTCTGATCTTAGGAAGCCACTGATATTTACTGTGCCTATGGCTCACAGTACATTAGCGTACTCCTGCCCCCCCCCCTTACTGATAGCTAAAAAGATCAATAGTGTCAGGAGGTTACTTATTTCAGAGATAGAAATTTCAAGGAGCCCTTAGCATCCTCTGGAAGAGCCCTAGGGCTCCACGGAACTCTGGCTAGGAAAGGTAGGGCTGTGCTACATGGTCAAAGGCAAGGGTCACCAAGTTTTCAGAGAAATCCAGTCAAATTTACTGCACAGAATATTCCAAATTATTCTGGAAGGGAGGTCTCACCTTTTTAAGCAGCCGTGGAGCATCCACGTCCAGTTTGCACCGTCTCTCTACTACATGCACTGCTCCATCCTCACTGAGGAACTCATTTATGATATCGCTGCCCACAAACATTGGGATAAGATGACACGTGGGGAAACGGCGCTCATAGGCCTGGAAAAGAGAAGCAACAACATGACTCTTCATTGAAGAAACATACATTTGCCGATTCCAATTATAATTGCGAACAGCACTAATCCTTCACAAGATTGCTAGTTTGAAAATGTGTTTTTAATTGCAAACTTTTTGTAGGGTGTGAAAGGGCATCCATACTCAAGATCAGCACATGACTTCTATGGCAGACCTTCGGAGTTAATTTATTCCCCGCTCTAAGCCATGAATAAACATTACAACCTCTGTATATACAATTGTATAAAAGGAATTACAGTTCAGCACTTTCCAGCCTGCAACAGTTAGGGACCATATAAACGGCAATGTTACACGCCATCATATGTAGTCACGCTGCTCTCAGCTGTAACACGGCTCGCTAACAACCATTATGTACCAGTTTGAAGTAGACGCAACCTAATTGAGATTTCGTTAAATGTTTTACATGTGTCTTTCAACATACATTACCCAAGCGTTTTCCATTCCCGTATTTAATAATAAATAGGCCAACAGCTGCTCAAGGCAGACGGTTTGCCATGAGTTGAGCAATGTAAAGATCAGTGACTTGCTGCGTGCACTAAATCCCTAGAGTTCCTATTGTAAATCTCCAGATTGCTTTACAGCCACAACGTAAACCAAAAAGCTCAACTATCCCACCCTCTTCTATCCAAGCCCATCCATCTCATCTACCCTTATAACCTAACTAGCCAACTATACTACTCAAGAGTGTTCCCAATAGACACATCAATATAAAGAAGAGTTTTCGTGGACCAGCAAATTAACTACTTGACACAACCTGCCAACTAAATTGTGTCATTTGTACATTTAATTCTTAAAAGCGTAGCTAAACCCAAAAACTAAAAATATAGGGGCCAGTTTCTTGGCTGTCATGCTGGCCCACTAGCTTTCCTAAATCGAAAAATTGACCTGAAACAGTCAAGCAAAACAAATGGCAAACGCACTCATCAATTTGTTACCAGCTTTACAGCATGTTGCACATGGAAGGGCTTAATACAGTACAACAGCAAAGAGTTTCCCAGCACATTCGCCCGCCAGCATGCAAAAAAACTTGTCTCACCGCTAAGGCTGTTTTTTCTTGCTGTAAAGCTGGTAACGAATTGATGAGTGCGTTTGCCATTTGTTTTGCTTGACTGATTTGGTGCAGTGACGCATGGGGGGCCTCAGCTGTCGTTGTGATGTGCGGGGTCCCTTGTGCGTCCCTGTACCTTTAAGGGAGGTTGGGCTTCCTCCTGACCAAAAGGCACCCAATTTGATCTTTTGCCACATGTGCTCCAAGATGGAGACTTTCATAGGTTAGAGTTAGGACCGCACTATCTAGAGGTGCCTTGGCGCGGCTTTCACATTTTCTGCAGAAGACGTGCATCTAAACCTCTGTTTTTAACCTTAGCTGTGAGACAAGTTTATTTGCATGCTGGCTGGCGAGTGTGCTGGGAAACTTTTTGCTGTTGTATTGACCTGAAACAGGTACGGAGAGCTGAAAAGTCAGGAGACCTTATCTGCATACTTGTTCTGGGCTAGAGACAAGGGGGGGAATTTATCAAAACTGGAGCAGACAAAATCTGGAGCAGTTGACCGTGGCAACCAATCAGCTTCTCTCTTCAGTTTGTTCAGTTAAGCTTTGAAAATGAAAGAGAGAAGCCGATTGGTTGCCATGCACAGCTGCTCCAGGTTTTGTCTGCTCCAGTTTTGATAAATTCCCTTCATAGTATCAAAGAAAGAAGGTCAGCATGACATCTTTTCAACTAGAATTTTCATAATAATAAAAAAAAATCGGCAACAGCAGCATTCCTAATTCATTTAGGGAAATGTTTCTGATAAAGCACAACCAAACCCAAGAAAAATATACTGCAGCTTACCAAAGCTTGAAATGTGGTGGCTGCATTAGTTTGCTTTTTTTGAGGCCTTAAATTACTTGTACCTGCTCATCCTGTGAATAACATAGTGTGGAAAATAATGATTTGATACCCTGCAGATTTTGTAAGTTGCCCACTTACAAAGAAATGAAAGGTCTATAATTTTTTTTATCATAGGTGTATTTTAAATGATAGGCAGAATATCAACCAAAAATCCTGAAAAAACACACGATACAAATGTTATAACTTGAGTTGCAGTTCAGTGAGTAAAATAAGTATTGGATCCCCAAGCAAAACATGACTTAGTACTTGTTGGCAAGCACAGAGGTAAGACGTTTCTTGTAGTTGGTTACCAGGTTTGCACACATCTCAGGAGGGATTTTGGTCCACTCTTCTTTACAGATCTTCTCTAAATCCTTAAAGTAGCATTAAGGTCTGGGCATTTTTTACCTTAATGCATTCTCTGCATTAGGGTAAAAACGGCCCAGCACTTTTTTTTCTACCCCAGTCCCCTACACACCTACCTTTCAGCTGTGCTCGTCCCCGCCGCCGGTCCGAAGAGATCCTCCGTTCCTCGAACTTCCGGGTTGGGGGGGGGATACTGATGGCAGAGGAGCCATAGGCTCCTTCTGCCTTCAATCAAAGAGGGAACGGGCATGGCCTGACGCACACAGCCACTGCGGAAACGAGCACGCACGGGTGCCTCAATAAAAATTATGGTGGCAACCGTGCAGGGGGAAGTGAGCTGCGGGGAGCCACTAGAAAAAGAGGAATTAGGCACTTGTAAGGAATAAAAGCAACAACCTCCAGCAAAGGAGGGTCTCCTTAAAGGAGAGAATAATAAAAAAGTTAGGCTTCAATATCACTTTAAGCTTTCTTGGCTGTTATTCAACCTAATATGTAACTAAGAGCCTATTAATTACTAAAAACACACACACACACACACACACACTGAACTGGGTGGACCGATGTCTTTATTCAACCTTACCTTCTATATAACAATGTAGGTGCATTCAATTCAGTGAACTCTACCGTCATATCCAAGCCATTATTTTATCATTTATGATTTTATTTGAGCTAAAGCTGTGCGGTTATTTCTGCCATCCACACAGTGCTGTCACTGGCCCTTCTGGCATCACACTGGGTACAGACTTGCTGGTGTATCATTCAGACTCCGGGGGGAGACCATTACCCATGCAGCTCATTTGTTCCTTCCACTGCTCTCTTGGCTACGCTGCCCGTCACTCCGGGCACTTATTCTCCTTGACTAAATGGGGTCAAAGCAGAGAAAACAGCTGTGCTAGTTTGGCATGTAGAGTAATCGTGAAGGGAGTTCAGTGCGAGTTGAAATAAACATTGCTGACCACGTCAGAACTATATGATGAAGTACGCCCTTCCAGCCATTTTTACATCCTTTATTCCTCCCACTAAGATAATTCTAAGAAATCTACTAAGCATCGTGCGTGCCTAATACACCCACACGGGATAATCACATTATCATGTTAGGAAAAATAGAAGCCTGTCTGTAAAAAAAAAAAAAAAATGATTCTTTTATGGTGTCTCCAATGTTTCTATCTACCAGACAAAAATACACATACCGGGGGTGCAATCAGTTAAAGTGTATGTACAGTCAAACCTTGTTTTAGGGAGAGTAGGGAAGGGTTAAAACTCCTACTACAGGGATAAGTAACCTCAGAACGCTAGTTGTGGTCAAACTACAAATCCTAATATGCATCTGTTTCTAGGGATCATACCTGTGGCTGTCACAGTCTTGCAATGCCTCATGGGACTTGTAGTTCCACAACACCTGGAGTGCCGAGGTTGACTATCACTGCCCTATCAAGTAATTTTCGAGGGGCATGCCTTTACCCACTCTATCAAAAATTTAAATTAGATGATTTGTCTTTACATACACTTTAAAGAGACCCAGTCAACATGTAAAAAATTTGGGGTAAAAGCAAAAAAAAAAATCAAATATATTAAATGCTTACTTGCATAAATGTTTTTTTTTTCTATTGGACCTGCAATGTGCCTTTGAACTTGCTTGAAAAATGTGACTACTCCAGGAAGAGTCAATTAGCTAGTACAGCCCCCCACTCTCCTTGCACGTCATAGCCCTCTCCTTCTGGTAACGTCCAATTACGATCTGTGCTGGCCCAGCAACTCTGCCCCTCCCCTAACCTCCCTACATAACCTTTTAAGTAGGTCCCAAGGCAGGAGAAAATATATACTATAGCATGTCACCTCAGCAGCAGCTCTGAGCCTGCAGATATCACATCCAATATGGTGGCACCCATTAGGTTAAAAAAACATGCATAATTTATATGCAATGCACATAAAAAAACAACTTATGGATAGATTTCTGTTGGAATTAATGGTCTGGTGACAGGGTCCTATTTGTGACCTCAGCCTAATTTTATGGTTGAAGACACGGGAGGTCGCTCACTCAATTAGCACAGCGGCCATTCAGCGAATGCTTAGTATTTTTTTGCATGAATACAGGGCATTCTCTGATTGGATGAGGGACAGTGCCATGACATCATTGCCCCTAGTCCACTCAGAGAACATCTTGTATTCATTCATAAAGATACCGTTCAGCCAGGTAAGACATCCCCTAAAAATAAGACCTAGTGTCTTTTTTCAGCTTTAAAAAGGAACCCACTACTGATAAATACTGGAGCAGCCATGCCACTGCTGACCTGTTTCCAAAAAGCTAGTTACCCGACTCTCTCAGTAGCGCCAGGGATCCAGGACAAGCATGCAGCAAATACCAATAACAATCAAAACTTCTATTGGCATGCTTGTGCTTGGTCGTGGATTCAAAGTACTGAAGCAAATGCATCAACATGAAAGGCAGAGAACTGACATACTCAGGGGAGGTCGGCACTGGCAGATATTGCCATAGACTTCAATCTGAACTCACTGTGCGCCTGGCCTGACCTAAATCACCTAACCTGTAGTGCGATGGCCTGACCATAACCTGTAGTGCGATTCAGCTGTTATTCAGGACACAACACTGGCCTAGATTCAGCTGCTGAGCCGGATTGTAATCATTGACCAGGTAGTTTCAACTTTAACCAGGGATTTTTAGTACATCTTGCAACGAGTAGGCTGACCCTTAGACACCTTACA